TTGGACCCATTCCATTTTTCTAAAATTTGCCTGATACTTCTTGCCGTCTGAAAGTGAATAGCGCTTTAATTTTTTTTGAAATCTCAATTTTTGGGTCCAGGAAAATCACTCAAAAGTCTTATTTTTCATTTCCAAGGGAGTCAATTCATCTCAGCCATAAAAACGGACCACAATTAAGCAGTTTAGTCAACCCAGCCCTTTATTTCGGCTTACAAGCGGCTGGCTGCTAGTTTCTGCAAAACTTGATTGTATAGGAACGTAGTGGCAGTTATTTGCAGAAACCCTTTGCATCCTTCCGTCTTGGGGTATGGCGACTGTGTTTGTTTTCGGCCGAGATTCGGATCTTCAGTGTCTGAGTTGGCCATTTCTGTCAGCTCATGGACATTATCCAGAGATTTGATTGCGGACGGATAATGCCGAAAGTGGCCGTTTCCGGTCCAGGCGGACTTTTTCTTTAGGCAGGGTTCTACTCTCGTTTTGATTACCGCCAAATCCTCTCAGTCGTATTTGCGAGGACTGTTGAGAGAGAGACCCGCTTGAAATCCATCATAGTAATCGCTGGGAGTTGTGGCGTGCTCCTGTAATCCAGCTACTTGGAGGCTTGGTGTGGAGAACGGTTTGAGGGCGGGGGTTCTGCTCTCAGTAATTTTTCAGTTAAAATCATTAATAAAAAGGTATTTCCAGTGCAATGGTAGAATCTTCAAAAATATCTCAAACTAGGAATTTCACTTTCTTTTTCTATGTATGTCTGTTCTATATGGTAAGAGTCTCAAGGAAAGGGGAGTCGTCATGCAGATTATTCTGTATATACATGGATTTTAAGACTCAAATTTCGACGGTTAGCTGTGAACACTATTACCCATTAGATTAACCAAATAGGCACCCAGCGAAGCATTTGTACCACTCAAAAAATCAATCGAAATATTTTAAATAATTTACAATCAAATCAAAAAGAAAAGTCGATAAAATCAATGAGATGGACGTGAATACGAGTTCGATACTCCTTCTGGATCATTCGTTGTTGTTGCACGGTAGGCTGTGTTCCATGTTAGGGCGTCAATGAACAAAATAAATCACTAAACACAAACTGGTTCTGTGGCCGAATCATGTGATGGCTCTGAAAATAATCAAGAAAGAGTATATCAAAAACTATAAATATGATATACATCACACGAAAATATTTAAGGATATTGTATTGTTTCAAGACAGCGCCCATCAAAATGCGGAGCTAGGTATTTTGTTTCGTGTTTTTCCTACTGTTTACTATACTAATCTGAAAAAAGTCGACTAACCATCTAAGATGCCATTTCTAGTGGACTAACCGTCTCACATGTCATTTCTAGTGGACTACCCGACTCAGATGTCACTTCAAGTGAACGACCCGTCTAAGATGTCACTTCAAGTGAACGACCCGTCTCAGATGTCACTTCAAGTGGACTACCCGTCTCAGATGTCATTTCAAGTTGACTAACCGTCTCACATGTCACTTCTTGTGGACTAACCATCCGACATGCCACTTCAAGTGAACTACACATCTGTCGTGCCATTTCTAGATGACTAACCGTCTCACATGTCACCTCTTGTGGACTAACAGTCTCAGATGTCATTTCTAGTGAACTACCCATCTGTCGTGCCACTTCAAGAGAACTAACCGTCTCAGATGTCACTTCAAGAGAACTAACCGTCTCAGATGTCATTTCAAGTTGACTAACCGTCTCAGATGTCACTTCAAGTTGACTAACCGTCTCAGATGTCATTTCAAGAGAACTAACCGTCTCAGATGTCATTTCTAGATGACTAACCGTCTCAGATGTCATTTCAAGTTGACTAACCGTCTCAGATGTCATTTCAAGAGAACTAACCGTCTCAGATGTCATTTCAAGTTGACTAACCGTCTCAGATGTCATTTCAAGTTGACTAACCGTCTCAGATGTCACTTCAAGTTGACTAACCGTCTCAGATGTCAATTCAAGTTGACTAACCGTCTCAGATGTCATTTCAAGAGAACTAACCGTCTCAGATGTCATTTCTAGATGACTAACCGTCTCAGATGTCATTTCAAGTTGACTAACCGTCTCAGATGTCACTTCAAGTTGACTAACCGTCTCAGATGTCACTTCAAGTTGACTAACCGTCTCAGATGTCATTTCAAGAGAACTAACCGTCTCAGATGTCATTTCTAGATGACTAACCGTCTCAGATGTCATTTCAAGTAGACTAACCGTCTCAGATGTCACTTCAAGTGGACTAACCGTCTCAGATGTCATTTCAAGAGAACTAACCGTCTCAGATGTCATTTCAAGTTGACTAACCGTCTCAGATGTCACTTCAAGTTGACTAACCGTCTCAGATGTCACTTCAAGTCGACTAACCGTCTCAGATGTCATTTCAAGTGGACTAACCGTCTCAGATGTCACTTCAAGTTGACTAACCGTCTCAGATGTCATTTCAAGAGAACTAACCGTCTCAGATGTCACTTCAAGTTGACTAACCGTCTCAGATGTCACTTCAAGTTGACTAACCGTCTCAGATGTCACTTCAAGTCGACTAACCGTCTCAGATGTCACTTCAAGTTGACTAACCGTCTCAGATGTCACTTCAAGTTGACTAACCGTCTCAGATGTCACTTCAAGTTGACTAAACGTCTCAGATGTCATTTCAAGTTGACTAACCGTCTCACATGTCACTTCTTGTGGACTAACCGTCTCAGATGTCACTTCAAGTCGACTAACCGTCTGAGATGTCATTTCAAGTTGACTAACCGTCTCAGATGTCACTTCAAGTCGACTAACCGTCTGAGATGTCATTTCAAGTTGACTAACCGTCTCAGATGTCATTTCAAGTTGACTAACCGTCTCAGATGTCATTTCTAGTGGACTAACCGTCTCAGATGTCATTTCAAGAGAACTAACCGTCTCAGATGTCATTTCTAGTGGACTAACCGTCTCAGATGTCACTTCAAGTTGACTAACCGTCTCAGATGTCATTTCAAGTGGACTAACCGTCTCAGATGTCACTTCAAGTTGACTAACCGTCTCAGATGTCATTTCAAGAGGACTAACCGTCTCAGATGTCATTTCAAGAGGACTAACCGTCTCAGATGTCATTTCAAGTGGACTAACCGTCTCAGATGTCACTTCAAGTGGACTAACCGTCTCAGATGTCACTTCAAGTTGACTAACCGTCTCAGATGTCATTTCAAGTGGACTAACCGTCTCAGATGTCACTTCAAGTTGACTAACCGTCTCAGATGTCATTTCTAGAGGACTAACCGTCTCAGATGTCATTTCAAGTTGACTAACCGTCTCAGATGTCACTTCAAGTTGACTAACCGTCTCAGATGTCATTTCAAGAGAACTAACCGTCTCAGATGTCATTTCTAGATGACTAACCGTCTCAGATGTCATTTCAAGAGAACTAACCGTCTC